CTGGCATGTGTGATCCTGGGGTTAAGAGCGTATGATTACTAAACCACTACACGTGAGTGATTAGTTTGGCACCACCCTAATCCCAGGAGTCTGAATAAGAGGAAAGGGGTAGAAAGATGCTGGTAACTCTTGTTATCTCTGCTGCCTTCTCCGCGCCATGTTGTTTCTCCTCTGCGATTCTTGTTTGCCACCCCAGCCTTGGAGCCAGGCAATTATGTATTGAAACCTCTATGAACTAACTGTAAGCCAAATAAACCCCTTCCCCTCTAACTTTGGGTGTCGGGTATTTTGTCTCAGCAACAAAAGTAACTAACACATGTTGAGAAATAGCCAAAGTGGAGTGTACAAACCCATACTATTCCTTCTAACATCTCTGAGGTTTTCTCATCTGACCATATCACATTATGTTCATCCACTCCTCTATTAATGGCCACCTTGGTTGTTTCCGGCCTCCTGATACCCATTTATGTTCTGTATACATTACCTAGGGCCATTCTATTTCCCGGTTATTTGCATATAGTGTATTCAGCCTTGATCTCATCTGACCTCTGACTCTACTCAAATCTTTTTAACCTTAAAAATACACCAGACTAGGGCTGGAGATTTAGCTCAGTGGTTATGCCACCTGCGTCACAAGCGCAAGGTCCCGAGTTCGATCCCCAGTAACAAAAAAATACAGCAGACTCTAATTGCTAATTTGTAAGATATATAAGAAGTTGAAAAACATGTTAAACCACACCAAAATAAGGCAATCAGCAAAATCCTGCAAAGAATCCGTAGGACAAATGAATGTTTCCTTCAACAAAAACTGTAAGAATGAAAAAAAGAAATGAAAGAGGAACCTGTAATTTCATACCAAAAAATTGTGCTTCAAAGGACAACATCAAGAAAATAAAAAGACATCTCACAGAATGGGAGACAATTTTCGTAAATACATTAATAACAGGTTTATGGGGGAAATTACATAGAATTCTTACACCTCAACAATAAAAAAGACAACCCAATTAAAAATGGACAAAATATATGAATAGACATTTCTCCAAAGAACTATACAACTGGTGAACAGGCACATGAAATGATTATCACTAGTCATTAGGGAAATGTAAATCAAAACCACAGATACCACTTCACACCCACTAGAATGTCTATTATTGAACACTGCTGGAAATGATATGGAAAAACTAAAACCCTGGTAAACCACTGGTGGGAATGTAAAATGCTGCAGCCACTCTAGAAAACTGCCTGACACAGTTCCTCAAACGGTTAAACAGTTACCAGCAATGCTACAATTTCAGTCTTAGCTAGATTAATCAAGAGAAATGAAAACACATGTCTACACAAAAGGTTGTATGTGAACTTTCACAGCTGCAAACATCCAAAATGGTAGCAATCCAAATGCCCATCAGCTGATGAATGGATATACCAAATGTGCCTGATCCATACAAAAGAATGTTATTTGGCCGCAAAAAGGAAATGAAGCACAGACAGAGGCTACAACATGGGTGAACCTTGAGAACATCTACTTAGTGAAAAAAGCCAAACACATAGGTCACATGTTATATGATCTCACTTATACAAAATATCACAATAGGGGAAGCCACAGAGACAGAAAGTAGATTAGTACTTGTTACAGGGTACATGGAGGGAAAATGAGGACTGCCTGCTAATGAGTCCAAAGTTGCTTTCAGGAACAATAAAAATGTTCTAAAAGAGATTATTGTTATGTTAGCACAATTCTATGAATATATTAAAAATAAAAAATAAACTAAAAGTCTTTTTTTCAGTACTAGGGATCGAACTCAGGACTTGGCACTTATGAGCCAGGCTCGGCGCCATTGAGCTTAATCCCTGGCCCTAAAAGTCTCTTAAGAAGACTTAAAAGATGGATCAATTTGCACTATGTAAACTTAAATCTTGAGCTTCAAAAATACACTTTAAAGCTGAGCGCAATGGTCCATGCCTGTAATCCCGGCACTCTGGAAGGCAAGCTTAGCCTGAACAACTTAGTTCCTTAGCAAGACCCTGTCTGGAAAAATAAAAAAGGGCTGGAGATATAGCTCAACTCGAAGGTCCTGGGTTCAATCCTCAGCACTCCATAAACAAATACTACATAAATAAATAAACTATAAAATTGTAAGACAATCATGGAAAGTTGAATATTGAATATCTAATTGCATTAAGGAATTATTAATTTCTTACTGATACGATAATAGAAATGAGTCGTTTGCTTTTTAAAAAGGAATTCCTGTATTTTTGTCTTGTTTCATTTTGTTTTTTGAGATAGGGTCTCACTACATAGCCCAGGCTGTCTTGAACTTGCTATGCAGTCCAGGATGGCCTCAACTCAAAATCCTCCTGCCTTAGCCTCCCAGAGTGCTGGGATTGCAGGCTTGTACCACCAGACCCAGAAAGTTCCTGTAATTTTAGAGATACATATCAAAATATTGAGTGAAGAAATGATACAGTGTTTAGGATTTGCTTCAAAATAACCAGGGAGAGGGGTGGAAGTTAGATAGGGACATGGACAAGATAGTCCCGAGCAGGTAACTATCGAAGCCATGTGATGGTTCATGGGAGTTCATTATACTCTTCTTTCCATTTTTTGTGATGTTTGAAATTTCCTATCTAAAAATAGGAGAAGGGACAAAAGAGATTAAATATTTTCCTGTCATATTATTTTACTAAATTCCAATTACAGTATCATCCCACAGGCAGAGAAACTCACCTTCAACTGCATTCTCAAGAAACAATTAAAAATACCCTTGGGAGAGGCTGGGGATTTAGCTCAGTCGTGCTGTCACCTGCCTTGCAAGCGCAAGGTCCCACGTTCAATCCCTGGTACCAAAAAATATATATACCCTTGGGAAAAAAAAAAACCAAAACACACCCTTGGACTTCCCCAGTCCATCCTCAATGACCACTTTTTCTGCCTCCATTACAATCTTTCCAAAAGAAAGCTTTCATCCTTAACACTTTTCTCCATTTGTTAGTCTCCTTTTATCATTTGTTTGCCATTAGCCTTCATGATTTTTACTTAAATTTTAAAACTTGCTCAGTTTTGATATTAAGTGGTTTCTTGAAAGATAAACTGATCAATCTCCTTTGGCTTCTCAATTTCATTTCCTCTTCTATTGAGGCAAAGGAAAGAATAATCCAGAACTTCGACTCTGTGGCAGAGATTCCTTGGTTACATTAGAAGAAAAAGACTGGGGCTAAGGGTATACGTACATGAGGCCACTGGTTCAATCCCCAGAACCACAAGGATTTGCAGAGAGCCCAGTACCAGCCCATGTCTCCACTACAAATAAGTGTCTACTGAAACAACAGATTCCTGTCACAGAACAATGTGACAGGCACAATACCAATCAGTTTACCTAAGCAGTATTAGTCATGACAATAAGCCTAGGACACAGGTCCTATTATGTATCCCCATTAGCTAGGACTTCTAAATCTCAGAGCTTTAAGAGCAAAGTCAGGATCTGAACCCAGGATTCTGGCTCCAGGACTTGCACCTACACCAAGCTACATCACCTCCTGGTAGAAACCAGCTCATGACTCTTTGCTGTGCTAATTCTAATGTTCAAGGATCAGAAATCATAATTTGATCCAATCATTTGCTCTGGGAACAAAAGATAGACTGTCCCCCAGAAAATCCCCTAAACTGGTCTCCTCATTAGGACAACCAATTTCACGAATGTTCCCGAACAGCAAAAACAAAAGTCACATAATTTATATTTTAAAGATTCACAGAGATCTTTAAAAGTTAAAAACGAAAACAGAAGTATCCCTTTTGCCTTGCCCCTCTCCACCTCCCGAAGTATCTAGGTGCCAGGGCCAGGGGGCGCCGGAGATGGAATTGTCCTAACCGACTGCACAGTGAGAGGAAAACAGGCTCCATGAGGGTAGGCGGGTCCCTCTAAGTGAATCCAGATCCCAGAGTGGCCAGAAAGACAGTGCGGGGCCAGCTGAGAGGCTTCCCTGAGTCACTCCTATCTCCACATACAACACCCAAGAATGACTTAGCACCAAAACACCAACACGACTCCAGAGGAGAGAGGAAAGGAGGGTGAACACAGAGTCAGAGACCAGAGACTATAAACTTCAGAAACACTGAGGACAAGCTGTCCGCAGCCACCTCCCTCTCACTTCCAGCCCTCCCATCAAACCCACCCCGTGACTGGTGGGACTGGGAGAGGCAAGAGCAAAAGCACAGTCCGGGTTACAGGACAAGACAAGAGAGATCTCAAACGATGAGTTAGGAGAAAAAAATGGAAGGAGCTGGAAAACGAACGAATAATCCAAGGACCAGGGCTGGGGATTTAGCTCAGTGGTTCCGCCGCCTGCCTTGCAGAGGTAAGGTCCCGAGTTCGATCCCCGGTACCAAAACAAGAAAAAAAAGAAAAAGAAAGAAAGAAAAAGAAAAACCAAGGACCAGAGGATAAGTGAGAGAGACTGACAGGTGTGGCGGGCACAGGAGGAGCGCGGAAGACAAAGGGACTGGAGAACTGAGAGCCCTCTGGGACCAAGAGCTGCAGCTTAGTCTGCGGACCGGGGTACCCGGGCCAGCAAACTCGGGTGTCCAGACAGCTCTATGCCTGGGGGAGAGGGACTGACGGCGGCGAGGGCCCTGGGCAGAGAGTGACTGCGGAGAGGGGCCGGACCTGAGCAGAAGCCAGGTCTGGGAGTGAGGAGCAGCTGATTCGAGAGGTCTCAGAACTGCTGCTCTGGGAACGGGGCAAGCACGGGGGTCAGCGGACCGAGAGGGACCGGGCAGGGAGCTAGGGACTGCTTGTGACTGATGCAGTCAGGGCAGGGGGAGTGTCAGAAACCTGCAGGTGACAAGGGCCAGGACCCCGGCAGACTGGTGACCGGGAGCCAGGGAGCGACGGGGCGGGGGTCGAGATAACAGCGGGGCTCAGGGACTCGGGGCCAGAGTGTGCAGCTGGGGCGGCGGGAGTCAGGGCGGCCAGGGCGGGTGACAGCGCCGGTCCGCCACTCACCGCTCATGATGCCGCTCCCGGAGCCGGTGCCTGCGCCGTCCCGCCGCCACCGCTGCTTCTGCCGCCACCAAGATCCACCCAGGCCGGGCGCCAGCACGCCGGCCCCGCCCGCCGGCCCGCCCCGGAAGTAGAACTCCGCCACCGAGGTCCCCGCCCCTCGCCCCGGAAGCTAAACACGGAAGCCGGGGAGGGGGCCAGTCTAAGGAGGGAGCGGCGCGGGAGAGCCCGGGGATCCCTCGCAGATCTAGTATCTGCTAGGGAGCCGCAGGTCTGTGCCCCGGCGTCAGACGGTGAACAAGGCCACGAGTAAGGAGATATCAGCGTTCCAGAGAGCGATGCGAGCTGGAAGGGAGATGTAAAGAGTGGTAAACTAAAGCGTGGGTGCAGGTGCAGATGGGCAATCCCGGAAGGGCTCTCCGGCGGGGCGACTTTGGGTCGGAGATCTGGATAATGGGAGGGACCCGTTCTAGGAAAATTATTCCAGAAGGGACCAGTGCCGGACCTAGCCTGGAAAGGTTGACTGAACGTGAGAGAGAGTGAGAAAAGGATGGTGAGAGGCAGGACGTTGAAAACTGCGGGGAGACCCTTGCAGGTTGAAGAGTTTTGACCTTTCCGACCTACCTCTAGGGAGATGGGAGGCTATTGCAAGAATTCAAGCAGAATGATACAATCTGAATTTTTTTTAAGATCTCTGTGGTTTGTATTCAATTTGAAATCTTGATTAAAACAAAAGCAGTGAGAATGAAGCTTCACAAACCCTGCAAAATTACTACATCATTCTGATATGGCTTTACACTGATTATACATGTAGGAGAAAATAACATTAGAATTGAAGCAATAACAACATGTGCAAACCAAGCACATTAACCCTAACAGTCCTTAGTAAAAAGCTGTTTTGGTTCGGTGATGGTTATTGCTGCATGCCGCTTAGTCTGCTTTGGAGGATAAGTTATGAACAGCTTCATCCATTTCACAAATTCTCTCCTACTGGCCCACAGTGGTGAGAAGGAGCCTTTGGTAATCACTTGTGTCACTTGCAATCGTTGTGCCCAGGGAGCAGGAACTCAGGAACGTGTACTGAGTGAGATTTTGTAGACAAGAGCAAATCAAGAAGTGTGAAGCTAAAGAGGGCAGACTCCAGACGGATGAGTCTTCTTTTAACGTGATCCTGGCCACAAGCAGCTTTCCTCAGCTGAAAGCTACCGTGGAGGCTTATTCCAGGATGGGTAATCGAGATTTGTTAAGCAGCGTCAGCCATGTGTTACCTGGATATAGTGAAAGTTGTTTGAAGACCGTCTTGCAGGGTACCCTGAACTGTCTATCCTGCCTTTCCAGAGCAGATCTACCGTTTATGAAGAGTGCAGGCAGATGACTCCACCCTGGTCAGTATTGTGGTTTCTCAAAGTGAGAAACAACAACTTGCACAACTGAATTAGGTTTTAAAACTGTATTAGTTACTTTTTTCTCCTTGCTGAGAGTTGGCTGACTCCAAGGCAGAGGGGCATCACAGAGAAAAAAATTATTTGCAAGAAGACAGGAAAAGCAGTAAAGGAACCTTAACAGCATGTTTCTACCCCTTTTATCTTATCCACACTACTGGAATTAGGGCCATGCCAAACCAATCAGTGGACTGGTTTAGTAATCACACGCCCTTAATCCCAACATCACACACTCTAGATCCAGCCACCTCTGAAAAACCCATCTACAACCACATGAGCTTTTGGGGGTGCATCTAGACACAAACCGTAACAAAAACATCACTTTCTGGAATGAGAATGGATTGTAATGGGACAGGAGAAAAAGGCAGCTGGTTAAAGTACTAATGTTGTTCAGGCTAGAGGTAAGAGTGTCCAACCCCTCGGGTGGTGATAAGAGATGGAGGTGGTGGATGGATTGAGTGTGAACACAAGTGTTACATATTCACAACGACCTGTGAAGTTAAGGTTATTGCCTTGTTTTACAGATGGTGGGAAAAGGACCCAGAAAGGTTGGAGTATTTTCCCAGTTTCTTTTGTCCACCCTCTTGTCAATGGCTGGTGACAGGCCTCCTGAGGCAGAGGCTAGCGCCTGGCTAACAATGGCTGGGAAGGTAGGCGTGACCTGTTAATTACAAAAATCCCCGGACACAGGTGCAGAACAGTTCCCAAAGCCCTGCAGCTAGGCTCCTGGCAAAAATGAGCAGGATTTGGGGAGTTTTTTTGCTTGTTTGTTTTTTGGTACCAGGGATTGAACCCCGGACCTTGCGCTTTGGAGGTAGGCACCAGAACCACTGAGCTAAATCCCCGGCCCCTTGAGCGGGATTTTGATAGGACAGTCCCAGACTTGACACCAGCCTCAGGAGTGAGAGAAATAAAAGATCAGCTGACATTGAGCTCTCACTATTGTGTCTTCGTGGTAGTCCACCCCCATGCTGCAAGGTGTACCTCTTGTCTACTTTTTCTTGGCCTAAACTCATCCTGCAGAGCCTATTTCTTTTCCTACCTTTAATAAATGTAAAATTTTGCTACTGTTTGTACCTGTCTTAACCAGTCCTTTGTTCAAGAAAGAAAGAACCTGGAAACCACCTGTAGAAGGAGACTCCAGCACCCCAAAACCCAGTAACATTCACTCTAGTGATAATGGAAATTAAGGTAACAGTATGAACTTATAAACAAAAGCTTTAATTGGAAAGTAAGAAAAATTAAGGAAACTGTCACCAGACTAGGCCTGAGAAGGTTCCTGAAGCTGAGACTAGGAACTTAATTCACCGTAAACATAGAATGTTTGGAGGTTCACTGGCTCACATGGAGGAAAAAAATTTTCAGAATAATACGGGAAGGATTTACTAAGCGGAAATGTCAGTACACATGCAAGTGGAGTGCGGGTGCTCAGAGAAATGAGGCCCACTACAGTATGGAACTGGGAATATTTATGTGTTTTTGGAGGTGGAAATCTGTGGTATTCCTTTATCTATAGTCTCAGTCTTGGTTTGGTTAGTGGGAGAGTGTGGCCCACCCATAGTAAGATAAGGTCCATTCTTAGGGGACAGTCTTAATTTAAAGGCGTAAAGGTAGTTGGTTCACAGGTGTAAGAGGGCCATTTGCCAGTAAAAAGGTTATGGCCAGACCCATTTTTAGGTGAAAGGGAATTGCCCACCTTTAAACTGTCCTGAAGCTGTAGTTTTCATTTCTAAAATTACAGTTTTCCTTTTCTCCTTTCTTCCTGTTGTTTGTTTCTTCTGTCCTACCTCATTTAGGACTTCACCTTGAAAGGAAGCTGGAGGGAGCAGTTTCTAATACACATCAGACTGGCCCATTCAGAGAGACCAGGTTTTCTGTTTGTTTTATGGTTTTTTGTTTTAGTTTTAGTTTTAGTTTTGGAGCACTAGAAATTGAACACAGGACCTCCTGCCTCAGCCTCCCAAAATGCTGAGATCCCATGTGCTGGAAAAGAAGATCTACAGAGTGCTTTGGAGGGCTGAGGTCCAATCATATCTCAGTCCTGCTCAGTCATTAGCTCAGTCCTGATTTCCTAGTTGGAAAGGAGGAATCCTTGTGACTTGAGGGGCAATCTCAGCCTGTGAGGCTCTGCTAGAATCCAAGGTGACCATAGGTTTAGAACCATGGGGACTTCTGGGCTTAGGTGTTCTCAGTCTGGAAGATCAATGAGATAGGCTAGGAAAATTTAGGGCCAAAGACCTTGTTCTGCCCATTTTAGATACTCCCTAAATAACATGCTTATGCACAGAACTAAAAGGATTAGACCCAGAGTTTTACAATGAAGATCAAGCTTTATTCTATTTTTAGTTACCTGTTGGGCTTGTAGAAGACCCAAGTGAAGACTTACAGCTTTTAGCAAAAACCACTTTTAAGTCCCTAGCTATCTTAGAGAAAATGTCACAGGAAATAATACTGGAGATGAAATATGAAAGATTCTATCTCTCAACCTGTTAGCTGTATGATAAGCTGAGTTCTTGTTCTCTAGAAATCAAAGAATGAGTCCTAGGAACAATGGAGGTTAAGAGTAGGAAGATATTTATTGATAGGAAAGCTCCTGAGGGGCAGGAGGGGGACCCCACTTTACAGAAGAGTTTTATAGGGTGAAACCCATGTGGGTACACTGGGCCACAGCCATGAACATCCAATAAGGTTCCAAGCATAGTCACATAAGTAATAGTGGTCCAGTTGGGAAATAAGTCACATAACAAGTGTAGATGGAAAGAACAAAGATTGTGCTAGGAAGTGGTGGGTCCAGAGGTCTCTGGTCCCCCACCAGGATGGCTGATGCCTCTCGACCTCATTAGGCCCAGTGTTTGTTCTTTGGGGAAGTATGTGGGTCTGGTCATCTTGTCTTTATCTTGAGCCCTGGTTTTTAGCCAGTGTGTTTCCAGTGTATCTGTGGTGTGTTTCACCTCTGTCCTGATCCTCTCGAGGACCTAGCCCTATCTGACTCCCTATAATATTTCCACCTAGCTCATCTATCCATAATAAAAACACAAATCATGCTTTTAATGAGTAACAGGTTAAGAGCCTAGTTAGTTTGTCCTCTGTCCCTGTAGTGGTCCCTGGCTATGTCACTCTGAGTAAAAAATATGTTTGCTTTTTTTTTTTTTTCTTTGACACAGCATCATGCTATGTTGCCCAGACTGGCTTCAAACTCTCAGGCAGTTCTCCTAGCTCAGCCTCCTGATTGCTGATATTATAGTCATGTACCCACCACACCTGGCTGAATGAAAAATATGTGATTTACATCATAACCTAGTACACATGCATTTAAGGAGATGTTTAACAAAACAATTCTGTAAGTTACGATTTCTTCCATTTTTTTCTTTTTGAATATTAATGAGACTTTATTCACTTGATCCACGAATAAGTCTTAGCAGAAATCACTGACTTAAGGACCAAACCCTGCTAAGAAATGGAGTCAGAATTTCAGCTCAGATTCTCTGGGACCCCACAGGGCTTTGGTCCTCCTGCTGTTTTGCCTTTCAACATATAATCTACACATGCTCCTAGGAATTTACTTCTGAGGAAACAATTCAGCAGAAAAAGCACGTCAGAAAAGGGTACCCTGCTGCTTTATAATACTGAAAAAAGTAGTGAGAAAAAAAAGTTCAAGGATGTTCTAAATCACAAAATGTGGAGGATGAAATGGAAGAGAGATGAGGAGAGTTCCCG